CATTACTGGACTGAGAAGCAAGCACCTAGAATCCTGAAGTGCACCTTTGGATATGTCTGTGAAGGTGTTTCGAGAGAAGATAATCTAAGAAAGGAAGACTTCCCCTGAAAGTAGGCAACACTATTTCATGGATGGGGATCTGGATTAAATAAAAGGGAGAACTAGCCAATGCAGCAGGCACACTCTCTGCTTTCTGGACAACATAATGGAAACCCCTATGCTCCACAAAGCCTTCCACACCATGACAGGCTAAAACCATGAGATGAAACCAATCCCCCCTCCCTTAAGTCGTTTCTCTCTGGTATCTGGTCAGAGCAATGAGAGTCTCACCAACACAGATGCCCAAATGTAAGTTTACTATTACTACATCATATTTTGCCCTTTCATATACTTTGTCTGTAAGGTCCACTCTCAGGCTGTGCTTAGCAATCCAGATCCAATCATCAATAGAGCAGCAGCAAGGAACCCCATGACCCAAAAAACTTGCAATGGCTGACCAATAACTCAGAAGCAGGTGGTAGGCTAGTGTAGTATAGTGATATTATTTTGGACATATGTCAGTTGTCACAAAGACCCTATGGAGGAAGTAGAACTACTGTAAACATGAGAAAGAACCACGATTAACTGACAGTCTATTTATGCCAGCTTTCCCTGCCTCAAAACTTTGCTATTTCGACTGTGCAGACATGCAGGACCCAGTAACTACAAGATGGTGCTTAATCACCTACAGAGCCAACTGGGAGCTCACCAGCCTAACAAAAACAGGTTAGACTGGTGCCATGCTAATGCTTCACCCAGATGTCTGCAGCTGTCAAGGTCTGGGGACTGCTTTCAAACTCCTTAGAAAGTCAAGTTTGGGAACACTGTGCCTTGTAGCTAGCTGCCTTGGCCTCTTATTAGGGAAGAATGCTTGTAACTATCCTTTAGTACTTGTCTTGTACTACAAATGCTAAACATTCACAATGTGTCTTTATGTCCTTTGTCCCAAGCAAATACTTGCTTGCTACTACAAGATCTATTTGTGCAAATTCCTAATGTAATAACTACTCCCTGGGGACAACGGGATGAAGTAGGTGTTACATTGAGTGATAAGATGCACACACATCATAACTGACACAGAAAGGAGGCATAGATAAGCTACTAGGTAATTACACTTCTACAGTTCAAAAACCAAAATGCACAAAAAAGTACATGGTGACATCTCCCTTCCACTCAAAAGTCACAGCTACAGAGGTCTGTCCGCTAAGGAAACCAATGACTAGACCATTACATATACTTCCACAGATATTTATAACTGTACTAACTTATTTGTTTAATACTAAATATACTCCTCCCAGATTAAATATTAGTTCAATGGGAAAAGGTAAAGACTCCTGGTATTTACTCAAAGGACTCCAAGACAAGACATCCCAGAGATCCTTGCACATCCATGCTTACTGAAGAAGCAGGACTCACAAGAGCTAAACTATGGAACCAATTGGTGTCTGTCATCAGAGAAATGGATAAGGAAAATGGTATACATGCACAATGGAATTTTACTCATCCATGAAGAATGAAATTATGTGCTTTGCAGAAAAATGTGTACAGCTGCAGATTATCACAATAAGTAAATCAAGTCAAACTCAAAAAAGGCATTTATTGCATAATTTCTCTCACTTGTGAATCCCAGATTTTATAGATATAACATGACACGCATAGATATGCATGACATGGAAATAAAAGCTTGAATGTCTAGGACAATGGTTCTCAACCTGTGGGGTTGCAACCCCTTTGGCTAACCTCTATCTTCAAAAATATTTACATTACAATTCATAACAGTAGCAAAATTACAGTTATGAAGTAGCAGCAAAAATAATTTTATGGTTGGGGGTCACCACAATGTAGGAACTATATTAAAGGGTGACAGCATTAGGAAGGTTGGGAACCATGTTCTAGGGGAACAAAGGAAAATAGCAGGATGTGGGAGGAGAAAAAAGTAGAGGATAGCAGGGTATGAGGAAAACACTATCAAAGTATATTAAATACTTGTATACAATGTATATATGCCAATAAAATAGATGATAGGAAAGAGACCCTTAAAAACTTTAAGGGTTTTGGATTTCAAAAATGAACATTTTCATTCATAAAAAAAGTATTCATAAAAATTTTGAAGTTAGGGCTGGAGAGATGACTCAGTGGTTAAGAGTACTGACTGCTCTTCCAGAGGACCTGGGTTCAATTCCCAGCACCTACATGGCAGCTCACAACTGTCTGTAATTCCAGTTCCAGGGGACCCAACACCCATGGCAAAACATCAATGCACATAAAATAAAAAAATAAATAAATTTTAAAAAAAGAACATGTAAAAAAATTTTAAAAAATAAAAATTTTGAAGTTAGTCAGGCGTTGGTGGCGCACGCCTTTAATCCCAGCACTCAGGAGGCAGAAGCAGGCGGATGTCTGTGAGTTCGAGACCATCCTGGTCTACAAGAGCTAGTTCCAGGACAGCCTCCAAAGTCACAGAGAAACCCTGCCTCAAAAAAACCAAAAAAAAAAAATTGAAGCTAAATTGTAGCTTCCAGAAATTAATATGCATGCCCAGAACAGGGCAGATACTCAACAAGTGCTTCCCTAAGCCTTCCTGCCCTTTATTACTCAGAGACGAGAGGACAGCTACTCACTTCCTCTATTGATACTGAGAAATAAAATCGGAGTTCTTTGTCTGTGGGCAAATGCATGTGTGTGCACAGTGTGTTCAGATATGCACACCAATGTGCATGTGCAGAGAACAGAGTCCCCTACCTTATCACTCTAATAATCTTAAGTATAAAATGGAAAATTTAGTAATCAAATAACATTAGAATACAGATTTGGATTGAAACAGAAGATCAAATATCCTGGAAAGAAATGTTTTCTCACAATTACAAACAACCCATATCAACATATTAATATTTGATATAACCCAGTAAATCACATATTGACAAAATCAATTTCTCAATACATTTAAAAGCAGCAAGACCCAAAGACATAGGACAAAGGAGCACAGGTATATCATGAGATTTATAGCACGATCATCCACAAAATGAAACAGCACACTTGCATGTGGTTCCAATGACTGAAATACTGTAAAGTAGCTATCGTTACAAGAAAATCTTTCTGCTGTTTTTAAGTCTTAAGATAAAGATGACTGAAGTTGGGTGTGGTAGCTCATATATGTAATCCTAGAACTCGGGAGGCAGAGGCAGGAGGACTGCCCTAAATTCAAGGCTACACAGTGAGTTTCAGGACAGCCTAAGCTACTGTGCAAGACCCTGTCTCAAACAAAACAAAAGCCAAAGAGACAAATTACTAAATTCTGTGAACACAGAATAATCCTCAGAACACCTATTTTATCCCCATTTATTTTCTTTCTGTCTTTGAGTATGCATTCATGAGCCTGCCAAGTGTACTTCCTATTTCACACTGCTCTTTAAGGAGTTGGTTTTGAGACCTATAAGATAAATATATGCTCATAGTTTTTTATAAACATACAAAGGCAATCTTCATTTCCAACATGGCTCAGAGTCAGTCATCTAAGATGGCAGCATATTTCAATTCCTCGTTCACTATCTGCTCAGAAAATATCTCAGTTTACGTGCTTTCTTCATGTCACTCATTTGTCACCAACTAACATAAACCACAGAAGCTCCTTGAGCAAGTATGGAGGCCAAAGTCTGTCCTGAGGCCTGCAATTACCAATAGCCAACTAGGTTTTTGATTTTATGGTTTCAAGATCTGTTTAGGCCACTATTTCCAAACCGGAACACTCCTGACTAGTCCCTTGTACAACTTATATGAAAGGGTTTGGAGACCATAAGTCCTGGCTATTAATAACTAACCAAGAACCATGAGACCCAAAAGGCCCAGGACCAAGGGTAATTTACACATTAAAAATTAAGCTGCCTGCTTTCCATTCTCTGTCAGGGATCCCTGGATGGAAACTGAGTGCAGTATACTGTAATGAAGAATAATGCTCTGGCTTGAGAAACGGTCCTGAAGTGGAGGATGCTGGTTGTGGGCTTTCACACCCCTGAATTAAATTTAAAAAGAATGCTTGGCTCCAGTTTGGAGTGAATGGGGTGGGGGTGAGGGGAGAATGGCTGAAGGCACACCACAGAGGGAAAAAAGGATGACTCAGATTGTGGCTGTTATTATCCAAATCATAACCCTGTCCGTGTAACATGCTGTGTACTACTAAATCCAGAAAGGACGGTGATATCAGCCGGTCCTTAACAAAAGGGAGCTGACTCCAGAGTTAAAACCGCAACTTTTTGTCCACACACTCAGAAATGTTATCTTTAAAGTTGCTCCGTGTTACCATTTTAAGGATACAAGAGCTACCCTTGGCTTGCAGAAAGCAAGGAAATAGGCATAACTCCCCAATGAGACATTAAGGATACCTGTCTCAATAGTTAGGCCTGACATGGTGGTGTCACCACTCTGGGTCCTAGACTCACCTTTCATTCCTCCTCAGTTATTATTCACAAGAGATAAAAAGAACACAGGCCTCAGAAGTGGGCACCTTACCTGGGATGACCATCAGCCCAAGTTAAGACTTAACATTCAGACCTCTTTCTCACCCTTCTGTGGCTTGTCCCCTGGGGTGGCACACCTCCCTGGGAATCACCCACCTCCTGCCCCTGTACCCTCTGCAGATCTAAACTGGTGTGGAAAGCAAGGTAGAGGTTGATTGAGAGGGTCACAAGACAGACGCATAATCAAGCAGAGGGGCCAAGGGGCCACGTCTGTGTCTTTCATCTTGGTTCCTGGTAAAGAAACGTTGAATCGGGACAAAATGCTTTTTAACCATAGCAGAAAGCAGGAAAAATGCAGACAATTGACCTTGGAAACCCACAGCGTCTCAGCGGGAAACGCAAAAGAAGAAACTCCTTGGGAAGTGAAGCGGGAGCACTGTGAGGCACCCGGAGGAGTACAGCCGGCCGCCCAAGGGATGTGGGCTGGGGCAGTGGCAGGGAACTCACCATAGATCATGGCCAGCCCGGTCTCGTGCAGGAAGCGCACCCGGCGGTGTTTGAAGAGCCAGATGGTGAGGATGGTGAGGGTGAGCAGCAGGATGAAGGTGAGCAGGCTCACGCTGTCCTGCCG